ATTTAGGGCCACGCGATCAGCGGGAACTACAGATCCCATCACCTGCAGTTGCAGGCTTGCAGTTCTGGAAGGATGCGCCAATTTAGCTCCCATCCGTGGGATCAGCGCCCCCCCATGGGGTAGCACGAATCTGCGGGTGGGAGATCCAGCTGAAAACATCTGGTTGAAGGGAAGCGGATTGTTCCCACCGCGAAGTTGGACTCAGCTCTGGCTCCCATTTCTAGGTCTTGTTTGGCCAACGTGGTCTACGCCGCCTGGGATTCCACGCTGGCAAAGCCCTGGTTTAACCCTGGCTTGTTGCCCCGACCCCAGTGCGGTTCAATTCCCGCAACACGCCAAGCCACCAGCTGGGGAGCCCCAAAGCGTAGCAGGCAAATTCACTCAACGAACTAGGCCCCAACGCTAACCACACGGCAGCCGTCGCGCGCCCAACCTCAGCATATTAAGCTTTGATTAAAGACATCATCGTCGGAGATGGCTTCGTCCCCCCCATCAGAGCAGGGTCACCTCTGCGCCGGGTCTGGATCGCCTTTTAATTGAGTCCTTTTCTTTTTCCTTAATGGCAGGGCTCAGTAACGTTACATTTCTCGAGCGTTTCGTTTTAAGGGCGATTGCTTTTATCAAGCTGCCTGGATTATTTATGGACTGGGGCTCGCGGAGCCCCATCAGGAGGAAGAACCGTTTGAAAAGGGAACAAATATGAATAAATCATCAGGCGTGCCCCACCGGAGAACCGGGGAACCGAAAGTAGGACGGCTTGCAAAGCTACGCTTCTCCCCATTAATTGCAACCCGCCCTTGAAATTAAAAAAGATAAAAGGTTCCAGCCCTCAAGGTTTTGGAATCCAAACCAGGGAGCATTTAAGCTCATTGTGACAGATGGTCAGGAACGTCCTCCAGGACGTCCAAAGCCAACACTGAGAATCTTTGCATCGCAGAACGGAAGGAGGGAAAGGAACAGAGATCATCTAGTTCAGGGTTTCTCAGCCGTGGCGACCCGAAGGCTTGTGGACTTCAACTCCCAGAATTCCCCAGCCAGCATAAGTTTAATAAATCATCATTATGAGCAATTTATCTTAAATGCGCACTGCTGGGGAGCCACAGATGAAAAGGATCCCCCTTGTCCAGTCTGAAGTTCCTGCGTAACCCAGACGGCTGGAACTCATGGCCTAATTTTACCCTCCCCTTTTTTATGGGCAAAATAAACCGCGTTCGCGCTACAGGCCAAAGTGGGGCTAGCCGGCCGGTCCTTCCACGTGCTGGTGGGACCCCGGCGTTTGAAGCCAACCCGGTCGTGTCTTGGCACCCTCACCCGGTCGACGGGTTTGCCCGGCCCCTGTGCTTACCCGCTTGGTGAGCTGGGTGTCCATCATGAAGTTGTGGACGTGCTTCTCGGCCTTGGTGAGTTCCAGTTTCCGGGCCACCACGGCCACCACCAGGGCGGTGCAACCAGCCCCCTAAAACGGGGAGGAGAGGCCAAAATTCAGGATTAGCTCCAGAATCAATGCCAGCCAAGCAGGAAGGGATGTGTGCAGCTACAGCAAAGTTCCCCCGGTTCGCCGATAGATTTCCACCGTTGCCTGCTCCCCCTGCAAACGGGGACCCTCCTTTTCCCAGAATGCCCTCTGCTTGTCAATATGTTTTCCATTATTACCTGCTTCCCCTGCATACAGGGACCCATTTATTTTTCCCAGAATGCCCCCTGCTCGTCAATATGTTTTCCACTATTGCCTGCTTCCCCTGCATACAGGGACCCATTTATTTTTCCCAGAATGCCCTCTGCTCGTCAATATGTTTTCCACTATTGCCTGCTTCCCCTGCATACAGGGACCCATTTATTTTTCCCAGAATGCCCCCTGCTTATCAATAGATTT